TATGGCTGGCTGTGCGGGGAAGGGGCCGGGCTGTCGGGGTGCAGTCGGTGCTCGGTGCTGCTCCCCGGAGGGGGAACCGGCGGGCTGTGGGTGGAAGGAGGTCGTGCTGGGGCTGGTTGCCTGAATGAAGCCGTGAGGCCTTTTCTCTGCTGCAAGGCGCCAGTTGGAGCGGGCGACAACGGGGAACCGGCCGCTCGGGATCCGCAGCCACCTGACCGAGCGGTGCCAGGTGCCGCGTCTGCCGCCTTCCGTAGCTGCGTGTGGGCTTCAGGGGCCTGACCTGGGCTAGTCCCAAGGATGGAGCCTGGGGAAGAGAGGGTTCCAGGGAGACCTTATTGCAGCCTTTCAGTGCTTAAGGGGGGCTTAGAAGAAAGATGGAGAGAAACTTTTTAGCAGGGCCTGTAGCGATAGAACAAGGGATAAAGGTAAAAGTTAAAGAGAGCAGATTTAGACTAGATATAAGGAAGAAGTTTTTTACAATGGGGTTGGTGAAACACTGGCACAGGTTGCCCAGAGAGGTGGGCGATGCCCCAGCCCTGGAAACATTCAGGGTCAGGTTGGACGGGGCTCCGAGCAGCCTGGCATAGTGGTAGATGTACCTGCTCACTGCAGGGGGGTTGGACCAGATGACCTTTAAAGGTCCCTTCCAGCCCAAAGCATTCTATGATTGTATGGGGCTAGGAGACCAATAACGTGGAAGAACCAAGCTAGTACTTGAAAGGTCTGCAGGGGCAGAGCTTTGTGACAGTACCCGGGTCTTTAGTAACTGGTGAGGTGTTTTCTTTCTGTAAAGTCATATAAATGAGCAAGAGGAAGCTCTGAGCATTGCCAGTTATCAAGGAAAGGGGCTCCCTCATGCTCTGCTGCGGTGGTGCCTGGGGACATCAGCTGCCCTGAAGCACAGCTTAGGTAGCTCCTGCTGTGAAGTGCAGCAGGAGAGACGCTATGGAACAGTTGGGGTGTGGTGACCTGTCTGCCAGCAGACAGCGAAGCGGGGAGTCTGGGGTGGTATGAGAAGTCCGTCTGCACCCTGAAGTTACTGCCTGTGTTTTGACAGTGGTAACTCATTTATATTGCTCGGTAAAAGGTTGCGGCAGCAGGAAATTTCATAAAATCCTGTAAGAGAATGCTGAGAAATCCACCACCGCTCACATGTCTCTCTTGTTGTTGTTCAGAAATGGCACCTCGTAAGGGCAAGGAGAAGAAGGAAGAACAGGTCATCAGCTTGGGACCTCAGGTTGCTGAAGGAGAAAACGTGTTTGGCGTCTGCCATATCTTTGCTTCCTTCAATGACACTTTCGTCCACGTGACTGATCTCTCTGGCAAGTGAGTATTGAGCGCCGGTCACCTCCCCGCAGTACCTGGCTCCTTCAGTTCTGAAAACAGAAGTTGGATTGGGCTGGAGGCTCCCGCAGAGTCCCTGAGCTTGAGCCGCCAGATAAGATGGTGTGTGTACGTGAGCTCAGACCAGATGGCTTGGTGTGCTGTGATGAGTCTTCTGTTCAAGGTACTGGGTGGCAGCTTGTTGATCAGTAACATTCAAAATAACAGGTTCTGTCTGTACCCAGAAGCTGGTGTGTGGGGAGGAAAGAGGAAGGGCTTTTCTTCAGAACATAATCTTTCAGGGAAACCATCTGCCGTGTGACTGGTGGCATGAAGGTGAAGGCGGACAGAGACGAGTCCTCTCCCTACGCGGCTATGCTGGCGGCCCAGGATGTCGCCCAGCGGTGCAAGGAGCTGGGCATCACTGCCCTGCACATCAAGCTGCGTGCTACCGGTGGCAATAGGTACGTCGGAGGGGCTGGGCCCAGTGTTCCCGGAGGACCTGTCCGGTCTCAGAACCGTCCCTGACTGCACCACATCCCTTCTTTGCACTGCCTTTGTTGGGAAGGTAGATGGACCCTGGGAATTTGACTTCAAACTCGACCCGAAGGGTGTCAGTCGCACTGTACGGTGACTGACAGACGTGGTCACCTCTCGCTGAGCATCTGCAGTCAGTTCTGAATGGCCGTCTTCCGTTGGTGGGGTCGGGGTGTGCTCTGACTTACCCCGTAGTGGAAGGGGAGGTGCTGGAGATGTGTCACCTTGCAGTGACAGTGAAGTGTGTGTGTCTGGTGGTGGCTGATGAATGGTCTGGGGACAGCAGGAGGGTGAGCTGTGGTTTCTGGACGTTTTGGGTCGGGGAAGCTGTCAGTTTAACATCGTCAGTTGTTTGTGAACTCTGTTAAACTTACGAATCGTTTAAGGGATTGTTGGTTCTGACTCACTCTTCCAGGACCAAGACTCCTGGACCTGGTGCCCAGTCAGCCCTGAGAGCTCTGGCCCGATCTGGGATGAAGATCGGCCGCATTGGTGAGTGATGCAGAAGGCGGTAGCTAGGCACATGTCCTGGTGTGTCAGCGCAGAGCCTTGCTGCTTAAAAACAGAAAAACCCAGACAGACAAAATATCCCCACAACAGCTTTGAGGGATTATTTAGCAAAAGGCGCTTTGCAGGCGTATATGCCGCTTGGTGTGACGGTTTGACTTTGGGGCGTTCTCCTTGGCAGCTGTCAGATGCTGCTGGAGGTGTGATTTAATTTAAGCAGGTTGTTAAATGGACGGTTCGCCAGGAGGTGGCATGAGCAGACAGCAGAGACCGAGCGTCTGTCTGCGTGATGAGGATCAGCTGCAGCAGGGTGCTGGTGCCCCTCTGAGGGAACAGCGGCTGTGCCAGGGCCGTGCAGCCACCTGGAAATACCGGGCTGGTGTCGGGTGAAGGCTGTGACTCAGAAAAAACTGGATTCCTCCAGCTGCCAGAGGGAGAGTCCCAAGCTGTGGGGGGGAGTCACAAGAAGCAGCGGTGTTGGCTGCTCGGAAAGCTACATCAAGCACCCTCTGCTTCTTTGGAAAGGCTGGGGCTGCTTGGTTTCGGTGGGATGGGAGATGGGGATTTTTCCTCCCAAAGCACTGAAATCCCTGGGTGCCGTGCCCTCGGTGAGGTCACAGATACCTCCGCTCCGCCTGTGCGTGGGCCCACGTGGTTTCCTGGAGTACCTCTGGCAGGTCACACGGTGGTTGGGGTTTTCTTGTCCCCGCAGAGGATGTCACCCCCATCCCCTCGGACAGCACTCGCAGAAAGGGCGGTCGCCGTGGACGTCGTCTGTAAACAATGCTGCACCTTTCGATATTAAAGCTCTCTTTTAAACCTCCTCTTGACTGTGTGTTTCCTTGCTGAGGTGTGCTCAGAAGTTGAGTGGCTCCAGTTTAACGACATCTGCGAACCCTGGGCTCCTGGTTCGGGTTGTGAGGACTGCTGCAGCAGAGGTGCTTCGGAACATGTGCTGGGAAAGCTCCCGAAAGCACTGGACGTGCAGCTCCCTCACCTGCTCTGTTTATATATTTATACTTCCAGAGGTATTTAAGAAAGACGACTCCTCACTTCTTAGTCACGCCCTGCTTCCTGCGGTGATGGTTGCCCTCCCCGGAGTGCGCTGCCGTCACCTGGAATAAACGCCCACGTGCACCTTTGCCAATGTTCTGTTCCTGGCTCTCAGGGCTTTGAGATTGCTCCCGTCTCTGTCATTTCCCCGGCTGCAGCAGGGTTTTGGACCAAGAGAGGGTTCGTTGGCTCGCCGTACTGGAGAAGTACAGGTCGAGATGGGCGGGTTCCTTTATGCTTGTGATGTCCAGGTGATGGTTAAAATCGCTGTGGTTTCTGCTGCTCCGGGGAGCGCTGCCGAACTGTCACCCTTTCACAGGAACGATTTTGACGTCGGCCCTCCGCGTAGTTCCTGTTTCGGCGTGGGTCTGCCCTGTGATCAGCGGTGCGGTGGGCGGTCGGTGGCATTGATGTTGTGGAGGGAGCTACAGCTCGTCCTGCTTCGCCACCGCTGTGGCAGTCACGTGCTGTTCAGTGGGACTCCTGGCAATGAGTGTGAGCGCTCATCTGCTCCTTGTAAAATACGTGTCCAGGAATACTTGTGGTCAGGTTAAAGTAGTGGTTATGTGTCAGGACTGATGAAAAACTTGGGGTTTTTAGCGCAGTGTAAGGCAGATACAAATACTCTCACAAATGATGGTGCGTGACCTATAAAATGAAGCTGGAAGGCCGTGTTGTGCTGTCCTGGGCTCTTGGGCAAAGTGTGTCTCCAGATCCCAAGGCCTGAGAACTTCGCTGCTCTCACATGGGCTCTTTCCTCTACCTTTGCATCATAAAACCAGCTAGCGCAGCTTCACCAAGGGCAAGTCCTGCCTGACCAACCTCGGGGTCTTCTGTGATGGAGTGGCTGCATCTGTGGACAAGGGAAGAGCTATGATGTCATCTGTCTGGGCTTCTGTAGGGCCTTTGACACGGTCCCCCACAACACCCTCCTCTCTAGGTTGGAGGATACGGATTTGATGGGTGGACTGTTGGGTGCATGGTCACATCCAGAGGGTATTGGTCACTGGCTCAATGTCCAGATGGACACCGGTGACAAGTGGTGTCCCTCAGCGGTCCGTACTGGAACCAGTGCGGTTTAATATCTCCATCAATGACATAGCGAGATGGAGTGCACCCTCAGCAAGTTTGCAGATGACACCCAACTGGGTGGTGTGGTCAACATGCCTGAGGGATGGGATGTCATCTGGAGGAACCTGGACAAGCCTGAGAAGTGGGCCTGTGTGAGCCTCGTGAGGTTCAACAAGGCCAAGTGCAAGGTCCTGCACCTGGGTCGGGGCAACCCCTACTACTGGTACAGGCTGGGGGATGAAGAGGTGGAGAGCAGCCCTGCTGGGAAGGACTTGGGGGTACTGGTAGATGAAAAGCTGGACGTGAGCTGGCATGGCAGTGTGTGCTCGCGGGCCAGCCGTGCCCTGGGCTGCATCCCCAGCAGCGTGGGCACAGGGCGAGGGAGGGCATTCTGCCCCTCTGCTCTGCTCTGGTGGAGGGCTGGAACCCCTCTGCTGGGAGGAAAGGCTGGGAGAGCTGGGGCTGCTCAGCCTGGGGAGGAGAAGGCTGTGGGGAGACCTTAGAGCAGCTGCCAGTGCCTGGAGGGGCTGCGAGAGAGCTGGAGAGGTGCTGGCACAAGGGCAGGGAGGGATAGGACAAGGGGGGATGGCTTTAAACTGAAAGAGGGGAGATCTAGAATAGATGTGAGGAAGAAATGTTGTATGACGAGGGTGGTGAGGCCCTGGCCCAGGCTGCCCAGAGAGGCGGGGGATGCCCCATCCCTGGAAACATTCAAGGCTGGGTTGGATGGAGCTCTGAGCAACCTGGTCTGGTGGGAGGTGTCCCTGCTCATGGCAAGGGGTTGGGCTGGATGGCCTTTCAAGGTCCCTGCCAACCCAAACCGTTCTACGAAAACGCTTCACGGGGGATTCCTTCCCCTGCCCGCTCCGCCCGCACCTCCCTCCCCTCGCGGGAGAGGAGGCTTTGGCTGGTGGTGGTGGAGGTGCTCGGCTCTCAAAGCAGTCTCTGTTCTGGTGAAGTTGCTCAGCCTGGGTGGGATCCAGGCCATGTTGCTCCTGTCAGGCTTGGTCTTCAGCTGTCGAGCGCTGGCTCTTGCATGGTGAAAGGGGATGAGTTTCACAGCGGAGGGAAGGAGGCTGCCTGCTCTGCAGCCATAGTGCGTCTCGGTCTGTGTAGTGAAAACCGCTTGGATGCTTCTGGTTTCCAAGTGAGTCACGATCTCTTGGAGGTGTCCCTGCTATGGGAAAGAAAGCTGGGCTTGTGAGCGAGCTGACTGCTGCTGGGTTTTCTGCAAGCTGTTGCTTAATACACGACTTCCCCTTTCTGTGGAAAAAATCTCTGCCTGGACAGGCATTCCCAAGCCAGCTTCTCCCTTGGCTCGGCCATAGTGTTTTATTTGTAATTTTATATGTGGCCATGGAAAACTTTAGGAATAAACTCCCCTTACTGTCCAAAAAGTGCGCTATTTGCACTTCAAATCACTGTTTTCCTGTACTGGAAGTGTTCTTTGAACTCTGCATGGAGAAGGTGCTGAAAGCACGAAACCAGCAGTGGCTCGGCCGAGATGGAGCTGAACTGGGGGGGGACAGGGCAGAGGTGTGCAGGGGAGCGGCAGGCAGAGGGGTGTGTTACTGCACAGGGCGGGGCAGTATGGGTTTTTTTATCTACCCTTTCAT